GGTTGGTCAGATTTAGTCTGAAGCCCCTCTGGTTGGTCAGATTTAGTCTGAAGCCCCTCTGGTTGGTCAGATTTAGTCTGAAGCCCCTCTGGTTGGTCAGATTTAATCTGAAGCCCCTCTGGTTGGTCAGATTTAGTCTGAAGCCCCTCTGGTTGGTTAGATTTAGTCTGAAGCCAATCAGATTTAGTCTGAAGCCCCTTTTGTCGGTCAGATTTTGTCTGAAGCCCCTCTGGTGGGTCAGATTTAGTCTGAAGCCCCTCTGGTTGGTCAGATTTAGTCTGAAGCCCCTCTGGTTGGTCAGATTTAGTCTGAAGCCCCTCTGGTTGGTCAGATTTAGTCTGAAAGCCCCTCTGGTCGGTCAGATGTAGTCTGAAGCCCCTCTGGTTGGTTGTGTTTTCAGGGCCCTACGTGGTGACCGAGGCTGAGGAGAACAAGCGCACGCGGACTGCGTACACRCGCGCCCAGCTGCTGGAGCTGGAGAAGGAGTTCCTCTTCAACCGCTACATCTCCAGGCCGCGGCGCGTGGAGCTGGCTCTGACCCTCAGCCTCACCGAGCGCCACATCAAGATCTGGTTCCAGAACCGGCGCATGAAGTGGAAGAAAGAGGAGGACCGCAGGAGGGCCAGGGGACCCGACCCGGACCAGGACTCCTCCATCACCTCYGGGGACCAGGGAGAGGCGGCAGGAGGGGTGTCCTCCACGAATGGACCCCACACCTCCACAACACCCCCGGTTTCTCCGCTGCACACCCACACCCTGTCTGGGTCCAGAGAATAGACCCCTATAGACCAGAACCTTCAGGGATTCTTTGTATTTAGTCCCTCACTGGAGAGGAGTCAGAAGGAGGCTCTCTTCTTTGTTTCTATGAACCTTTTGGATTCAGGTGGTCGGTTCTGGACTAAATTGTGAGATATTTGGGACATCAGAGGACAACAGACAACAAAGTCTAATGAAAAACCCAGTTTCCCTCCCTTTGGATACAAACTTACACTTCCCCAAGGTTTGGACTGAAAAGCTTTGTGTTTTATTTAACAATATTTTCCACACAGAGTCCACTTGTGTGTCGACAGATGAGCTGGAGGGTTGTTTGGTACCACCTGAGTGAATTATRAAGTTTTTACGTAGGGTAGATCTCTGGACCTGTAGCTGTGGGACCAGGTTTCAACTGGGGGTGCTATCAGCATATCGCATGCCTTTAAACACCAATATGAAGAATATCAAGCAGTGAAATGCACATTTAAATAAAATACATTAACGTGCAAATTGGACAAATAATGTGTATAAAATCATTATAGACAACAGTAACTGTTGGTTTACCAGAATAAAAAGTAATGCCCATCTTTATTTGTTTTTCACTAGTTCTTTGAACATGTATGTCCTCCTGCGTTTATTGTGGGGTGCTGCAGCGCCCTCTGCACCCTTGTCTCCCAAAACCCTGAGTGGTTCCYGAACTTTTCATCTTTTGACCTGCAAAATAAACGTAGTCTGGGGAGCTGAAAAATAAATATGCCTTTTAATAAACCTCACCCTCTATTATTCATGAGCACTGTTTATATTCATTTTCACAGTTAAGGATAAATATATTAACAATGATTTTATTGCATTTATTTGATTCCTTTTGACCTTCTTAAGACCCAAAACCTGGTGTTTCAAGGCCTACATTTAGGTTTCCATCTTTGGGAACAAACTTTGATAACMATCACAGCTTCTTATTATCGTAAAATTAATCAGATTAATCAGAATCTAAAGTGGATCTGAAGTGATCTGGTTGTGGTTCCCTGCTTCAGGCTAAAAACCTTTTTTTCCATGAAGGTTACATATTGCCTTAAAATGCTTTGTGCTATTTTATTCTGATTAAACAAATAAAAATAAAAGCAGGGTAGAGAAAACAAGCTTTAGCTCTGAACTTTAAGGAAATAAGTTCATAGAGGTAACCAATAGTATATTTATAATAATTGGCAGTAATTTGAGCAACATAAATGCAGAAATCATCATTTAGGAATTTAAAGCAAAACAAAGGCAAACCTTTCACTATTTCTATGAACAGTTCAATGCTAATAAGTAGTAGTGCACTCTTTGTTTATGTTCATTTTCTTTAAGTTTGGAGTTTAAACCAAATTTTATTCCCATTTCTTCAGTTTTTTAGGATTTCAGTGCATACATTTCATAATTACCGGCAGAAAGCTGAGGCTCAGAAGGTTTTCAGCTTTTCTGTCCACTGGTCTCCCTGAGTTATAAATGTTATTGTGCGGGCGGTTCCAAAAGCCTATTTTTAGTCTTTATGTGACTCATAGCTGCACATGTTTTGTTGCTAGAATAAATCATTGTGTTTAATGAATCAGCAGGACAATAATTTAATAAAGTTACTTCGCAGCTTTTAGGTTTCACATTTTCAGACATGTTTATAACTTATTGTCAGAGCGCACGAGGTCCTGGAGCCGCAGGCGGCAGATTTTCTTCACCTCCTGGATGCCGCGCGCCCTCTCCGCCGCGCGCTCGTTCCCGCACCGCTCGGACAGCTCGCGCAGGATGCTCGCCTTGTCGTGCGCGCGGGCGCAGACGACGAACGGGAAACCGAAGCGCCGCTTGTACTCCTCGTTCAGCCGGGACACGCGCGAGGCTTCGTCCGAGCGCAGCGCGTCCAGGCCGGCTCCAGCCTGCTCCTGGCGCGACTCCCGGGTCAGCGCGCCGCGGTGGAGGTCCCTGCCCGCCAGGTCCGGGTGGCACCTGAGGATCCCCTCTTTACCTGGACACCGTTATGGTCGGTTAATCGTGGGTTTTTCAGTCACATTTAAAATGTTTAAAATAATTCTCACCGGATTCGGGGAGCGCGTCGATGAACTGGTTTATTGCAGCTTCCAGATCAGCCAGACTCACGAAGGGCCGCCTGGTCCACACAGCAGCTGAGACGAGAGGACATTTTTCCACAACGTTACCAAAAATATTCACAAAGTCCTCATAAGGAAGAGCGTTTACTGCAGAAATATCCATGGGTTCTGTTAGAAAACGCTATTTTACGCGCATGCAGTTTGCTGACCTTTGGACACTTTGCAACACAGGTGAATGCACTGCTGGACACCCCACGACCCCGCCCACCCTGTCTGCCAGTGTTTGACTGGATTTAACACTGATATTCTGGGTAAAAATAAAATTGGTGGAAAATCTGCACATTTTATGTCTTTTTTTTACTGAAGTGAACAAACAAACAAACAAACAAACAAAAATGGCTGTTAGAATAAAATGATAACTATTATTTCCTAAATTAATTCAATGAATTCAAAACAGGTGAGTTTTTACTATTTTATTTATTTATTTATTTTGGTAAGGACACTAAACTTTAAACCAATGTTTTAATTCCGTCAACATATTGATCTCTGGCGGCCTCTAGCGGCTACAGTGGGTGCAGCAGGCAAGACCACCACAGAGTGCAGGAAGTGAGAACATTTCATTGAAAAGAGGCATAAGGAACCATTCACTTACAAGAAAAATAAACCAAATGGGCAAAATGTAAATATTTAAAGGTACACACTGAAAACTATGAAACCGCACATAAAAGCGTTACCCTAAACTGTATCTAATGGTTCAGTGGTTTTCAAAATGCGGGTACACACTCAGTGTAAACAAAGTAACTGACTGACTCTGCCAAAAAACACACGGAAACTAGAGTCATGTGTTATAGGCTGACTGTATACTGTAAATAAATATGTAGGAAATGGACACGAGTACTTTTAAGTTCTCAATAAACACGTCTTCTCTACCCTTCAGTTAAATTAAGAATTTATTTGATCATTTTTTCAACCTATCGTCAAATTAAAATGATCATGATGTAATTTACTGTAAATTACAATTTATATAAACTGAAACCCATTTTATCTATTCTTTATGAAATATTTCTATAAAGTCTTATAGTCTGAAAACTAATAGATGCAGATTTAAAGAAGCGCAAACAAAAAGAAGTGCAGTGAAATGTTGATATATTAAAATAACAGAAAAATAAAAACCACTCAAGCAAAATGACAATAAAATAGATTTATTGGAGTATAAATGATGTTTCAACATTGGCTTTATATGTAAAAAAGTTTCCAAATGGACCAATAAAATAAAATAAAATAAAATAAAATAAAAATTAAAAATGGACCTAAAAGAACAGGTTGACTGAAATACTTTAGTGACCTTTGCTGCTTCTTTTTTTACCCTCATTTCTAAAAAACACCCCCAAAACATGATGACTACAGTCCATCTGCTGTAGATAATTTGCATTTTGTAATTTTCTTTGTTCTTCTCAAAAAGTTTTCTCAGGCTTTAAAAGAAAATACTGCAAAATACAAACAGTTGAGATGAAAAAATGAGTAAAAGGCTGCAATTTTTTTAAATAAAAACTGAAATCCTGGAGAATTGCTGCAACAGGAAATCATAAATAAATGGTTGTTTAAAACTTTTTACAGTAAAGTTTTTCTCTCATCAGTAGGAACAAATAAAATAAAATCTGACAAAACAAACAGCTCAGTTTTGTCACCAATTTACAGTGAATATATTGTTAGCTACTAATGCATACTTTTTTTATTTGTGTTAAGATAAAATAAAATACAGACAAAATAAATCCATCAACATATAAAGTAATATAAAATATATAAATACATAAAAGTTTTAAATGCTTCCTGTAATGTTTGAAATGTTTATATTTACAATTTGATCATTTTCTACAAAACTTTAACCATATAAAAACTTGTACCTTTCTATAACTTGCAGCAGAATATCAGGAATACAGGATTCCTCTATGAAATAATAGTTTTTCCCATTTTAGTCACACATATTCATATAAACACATATAAAAAAAGATTATCACAACTTCAACTTAGGTTATATAAATGCTAAATGATGCTAAATAAATGCTACATCTTGTATTCAACCCAAAATGCAAATATAAAACAGGTCATTTTTGTAAAATAATATAGGGCAAGCACATCCTTTTGATAAATATATTGAGAAAATTATTAAAGAGATAGTCTGTGGAAAGGTTGATATAAAATAAAAAAAATTCAATTTAAATTACTTCAGTTTAGAAAAAATAGTTTAAATTTGACCAGATGAGCTAACAGCTGGTCTGAGCAGACAGACTCAAGTGCTGTCTTAAAATAAATAATTTTGGTGCAAATAGTGACAGATATCTATTTTAATATCCATGTCATGCTAATTAATGAGCATGTTTTCCAAACTGAGTTTGTTTTAAATGCTGTCAGGTAAGTTAATGAGTTTTCATAACTTTTCCACAAAACTCCAACTGAGAAGATCTTAAAAACTGCCTGATGTAAATTTTTAACTCATTTTGTAAATACAGGCAGAATACTCTTAATCAGATGGCTTCAGCAGCTCCTTCTCCTCTGACTTTGAAACTTTGGGATCCTCGGGCAGCACGGCTTTGCAGTAATCGTTGGTTTTTGTTGGCGTCTTGTTTTCACTTTGTTTTGTCAGGGCAGAAATGTCCAGAATGGTTGATGCGTTCTGGTAGTCATCAAAAACCTGATCCGTCATGTTATGGTAGAGCTGAAAAATCAACGACAAGAAAACACAATTGTAAAAACAACAACAACAACAACAACAAAAAATGACCAATCAAATCTATAAAAACAGTCGCCAAATCTATTAGAAAAAGTCTTTGTCCAGCAGGTCGGCACCTTCTCCTCTCTGTCTGTCAGCTGATCGCACATGAAGGACACCAACTTGGAGAAAGACGGGCGGTCGGAGGGATTCAGAGCCCAACACTTGCGCATTATATTGTACCTTAAAGATAATGACAAAAAATAAAGACATATTTAATTTATAAATACTGTATGTGTATACATTAATTTTCTCTTTGGAAAAATGGTTTTATACTCACTGCTTTGTCTTAAAGGGAGGTATTATATGCATATTTTCCAGACACATAGTTCAATTCTATACCACAATCAAGCACCTATGTTACCTTCAGTTGTTATAAAATGCTTTATAAATAAAAAATAAACTGGACTTTACATCCTAGCCAATCAAAACACCTTCCACTTGGCCTCTGTCTCTTTAAGAACCTCCCACTGTTTTTGACACTCACTTCAGCACATCTTCACAGCAATGCTTCATGCTGTTTATAATCTTTCGTAGGATCGTTGTGTTTTGTTGAAAAAAGGAAGCAACATTATATAATATCAGTTTTGTAAAATAGCAACTCAGGATACAGTTGAACCTTATTCAAATGATCCCACGTCAGACTTGGTAATATGTCTCCCAGTCATTCTCTCACATATACTGTACGTCAATGTTAAGCCACTTTTTGCGAAGGAACTATAAATATCATGATGAAGCTATGTTTTTGTAATGAAATCATGAACATCCATCATTTTTAAGAAATGTTTTGCTAGTCTGGCGGAGCTGTATGGGGGAGGAGTCTTCTGTGGGGCGGGACCTCGGCTGCAGACTGAGCTCCTGGGAGGAGCTTTGAGTAAATAGGCGGAGCTTCGTACCAGCAAACGTTTAGGCAGCTCCACATGGCTGCAGGAGTTTCAGGGATTTCTCAAACATGCATGAATGAGTCATAGCAACACCCTGGGTATGTTTTTAAAGAGGCAACAACATTATTATGTGATATAAAGCTCAAAAAGCTGATTTTGCATTAAACCCCTCCTTTAAAAAACATCATAAATAAACAGAGACTCAAGCAAACTTATATCTAAACATAACCCATCAATATAAATTATGTGTTGCACAATGATGACACTCACACAGAGTCGTTGGCGTAGTATGGACACTCCATCTTAAATCCTCTCTCAATCATTGCATAGAAAGTGGGATCTACCTTCACCCCAGGGTACGGAGTGACACCTGGGAGCAACAGTTGTTTATTATCACAAAGTAGTGCATTGTGTGCTTAAAGGTGCTGTTTCAGTGCTTTGCAGTGAATCCTACCCAGTGAGAAGATCTCCCAGAGTAGAATACCATAGGCCCAGACGTCGCTCTTCATGGTGTATATCCCCTGAAAGATACTCTCTGGTGCCATCCACTTGACTGGCAGATGCACCTGAAACATGACCCATCACAAACATAAAGCATTAAAAAGACCCGTATTAGGAATTCTGTTGAGAAGTTTTAGTATCTGTCACGCACATTTCCTCTCACGACATAGTTGGAGTCGTTGTCGATGTCCCGGGCCAAACCGAAGTCTCCGATTTTCACCAGCCTGCCTTTCGTCACCAACACGTTTCGAGCTGCCAGGTCCCGGTGGATACACTGCAGAGGAACAACACCGTATGATACCTGACACGTCGAGACTTTAATTAAGAATCTGAAGAGCGATGATCTGTTTTATTAATATTGTTTTTATAAGGGTGTGTGTGTGGGGGTGGGGGGTGGGTGGGGTGGTCTTACATTCCTGGAGGAAAGGAACTCCATGCCTTTGGCCACTTGGAGAGCAAAACAGAGGAGGTCTTCAAAGGTGAGCGCCTGCAGGTCTTCAGTCTCATCTTCAGTCTCATCCATTTCTGGGTCTGTGAACGGACAATCAGAAAAGCTCAGAATAATCAGTCTAAGCTTACAGGCAGAAAAATGAAGCAACGTTACAGTTAGACGTGCTAATTCCTCACTTCTCTTTTTATTTGGGTGTTTCTCACCTTCAGATCCGTTGGTGAAGGTGAGGAGGGCGCTGTCCTCCTCACCTCTCGTGGTGGAGCTGTGCATGGGAACGTAGTTGTCCACTGGGAACTGATCACTGAGAACACATAAATAAGAGAGGATTGAAATGTTAGAGAAACCTCACAAACAGAATCATTTCACATTGAATTGAAAAGGAGACAAAATGTAAATTTTACGTGTCTAAAAATGTGATATTAGACTGGCTGTGTTGTGTTTCCTTTGTGAATGTTTGTCACCACCTAGAGTTTTTCTTGAGCTGCAGGTTGTGGTACAGACTTCTGAATCGGTCTGTGTTGAAAGCGTCCGTCACACACTTGTGGTAGCGGTCACCGTTCTTCTTCAGGTAGTTCAGCAGGTCTCCGTGACAGCAGTACTGGAAGATCAGGTATATGGGACCTGCACGGCAATACTTTGATTAGTTAGTACAGCTCCACGACGCTGTGTCCGAGTTTATCCTTTTTATTCCACAGCTAAGATGCAATCAGTGGCATTAGCTGCAGCGAGCGCACCTGTTTCGGTACATGCGCCGAGGAGGTTCACAATGTTGATGTGGTGACCAATGTGAGTCAGCATCTTCAGTTCAGACATCAGTGCCTCCTTCTCCACGGACTGGTGTTTCTCTGTGGAGGGAACAGGAGATTAGCGACTGAAACGACCTCGAACTGAACGATGCTAACAGAGAAAACGCTGACCTTTCAGCATCTTGACGGCCACCTGATGCGAGACTCCGGGTTTGCTGATACCATAAGCTGTGGCATAGACCACCATGCCGAAAGCTCCAGACCCCAGCTCATTTCCTGTAGAAGAAGAAGTTTTTGTGATTGTTTGGACTTTAAAGAACATCACATCTCAAGGATAGGACTCAGAGTTACAGTAAAGACTCAGTGTATTCCAGTGACCTCTTTAGCTAGATACACACAAACACTCTACAGTTAAATTCTCATTTTGTTTTTTGTAATATTTATTTTTTCAAAGTACTGAACTTTATTTGAAAATATTTCTCTGTAGAAATACAGATCTCTTCAATTCCTTCAAAAATAAAAACTTTTCTTTCATATCTGCTGCAGGATACTTGCCCCTTTTTCTGTTTTTTTTGCTACCTTTAGCTTCTAGCTAGCCTTTTGATACTTCTAGCAAGCATTTTTGCTGCTCTAGCTTTTACCGAGTCTTACAACTTTTAACGTTTAACTAACCTTTTGTTGCATTTAGCTAGCATTTTGCTACTTTTAGTTTTTAATCAGCTTTTTGCAACTTTAGTTAGTGTGTTCTTACTTTAGCTTTTAGTTAGCAAATTGCTATTTTTGGCTTTTATAAGAATAACAATCACACTACTACTACTACTACTACTACTACTACTACTACTACTACTACTACTACTACTACTACTACTACTACTACTACTACTTCTAATAATAATGGTTTCAGTAAGTGTGTTCAATACTTTTTTCCTGTGCCATTCCACATTATTACAAATAACTTCATTTCTGGACATTTATGGTTTGATTTCTTTGTATGTATGGATCACTTGGGTTGTTACCGACATCTGGTGAAAATTTCATGTCATTAGCACCTCTAGTAATACACTCACTGGCCACTTTATTAGGTACACCACGCTAGTAACGGGTTGGACCC